GCTACCATCCGTGTTTCCTGAAGACCTCAGCGGTCAGTAATCTCTCAGATTCTGTACTGCAAAAGGTGCTCAGGATCAGGAATTGGCTAACATGAATAGGCAGGTTAACCAGTTCCGGGCCCTCTAGTCTTTTGTCTGCTGAGAAAACTCCGAGTGATAGCTATTACTTTCTGAGCACATGCCCCAGCAGAGCATAGCTTTGTGACCAGGATCCTTCCTAATAAAAAGCTCCACAATTTTATTAGAGTTTGTACTAATATTTCTGGAAACAGTTCCATTTATTTTGCGTTAATGAGGTTGTTTTTTTATTTTGTTTTGTTTGTTTGTGTGTGTGTGTGTGTGTGTGTGTGTGTGTGTCTTTTTGAGACAGTGTCTCGCCATGCAGTTCAGGCTGAGCTTGAGCTCACTTTGTAGCCCAGGCTGGTCTTGAACTTGCAACAATCCTCCTGCCTCTGCCTCCCGAGTGCTGGGATTACAGGCCTGTGCCACCACGCCCAGCTTGTTAATGAGTTTTGTACTTTATTTTCAAGGCTTAGTTCACTGTAGTTAATAATTGGTAAAATTTATTTTTAAAAATAGTCAGGACTGGGAGTGTATCGCAGTGATGGAGAACCTGCCTAGCCTGTGTGAGGCCCTGGGTTTGAGTCCTGGCACCACAAAACCAAAAAAATCGAAAACAAACAGCTGTAAAAATGTTGAATGCTGGGAATGTGTCTCTAACAAATTCCCTCCGGGGAGAGGGTATTTTATCTCAAACCTTTAGTACGAGCTGATGAATATTCACCAGAAAAGTGACTGTGGTTAGTTGGGTGCCCCTTTGGGTGGCAGAGGTGGCAGGAGCTCCAACTGGATTTCTCTCTGTGGGGCTCTCTAACCCAGGTGAAGCTCAGGGTCTCTTTGGATCTTTGTCAGAAAAATTAGGTAAAAGACCTGGACTTTAGGTGAGGGCTTCACAAGCTGAGGGAAGAGACAAAGCCATGTACATGGCGGCAGAGGAAGCAAGTGAGTCCCCCAACCCCTCCTCTGGGTAAACTGCAGACCCACGAGCTCTGGAGCTCTGGAGTCCCTGTGCCGCAGTCAGGGGGAAGCCCCTTCCCTTGTGTTCCCTGGAAGCCCTTAACGAGCTGCAGCTACTGCTCCATCTCCAGGCTGCCGCCTAGTGAGGCCTTTTGAAAGGTCACGTGCCTCTCCAACGGCACTTAAAGAGCTATTGTTATTTTCTCCGAATGCCAGAGGAGAAAGTGGGGCTGGCCACTCTGGCCTTGGCCAGCATGAGCCAGGTCGGAGAAGCCAGGAGAGGCCCACGTGCCTGGCTTCTTGCCCTCTGCTTCTTGAGGGCATGTCTTGTGTTTTCTTCTTTAAATTATGCCCTGCTTAAGGAGCTGCTTGTTACACAAAGCCCAGTGAGTGAGAGTTCCCACTGTCCTCTCGCTTCCAGGAGCTGGAGGCCTCTCTGAGGCCGTGTCTGACAGGCTAATTGTAATGTTGCTATGGTGTATTCAGCAAACTTTGGAAAGACTTCATTTTTAAGTAAAAATATGGGGCAGATTTGATTATGTTGTGTTTATTTCTTTCTGTAATGATTTAGATAAAGGTTAAAAATCAGGGTTGTGTATGTTTTGCAGTTTTAGTGGGTATATGGAGCCAGTTTTGCCTCAAATTCAAAATAAAGACCTACTCTTATTAGGGGTCCTTTTTTACACACTTGAATAGCACCAAGATTCCCTCTGTATATCTTCCTGCTCACAGATTTGGTTAGAGGACCTTCCACCCTCCCCTTCCAGACTATATTACAAATGTCTTATCAGGCTTTTTCTAAATCAGTGGGATTATCACACAGCTTTGACCAGCTGGATCATTCTAATTGGAAATCAGGTGCTTTTCACATTGAAATCTCTCTGAAAGTATCTCCACAGATCTCTCTGAGCTGTGGGAATTCTGTTAAATGCCTACAGTACTACATTGCCTGTGAGCTTTCTCAATGAGTTCTTTAGGCTCAGTGTTAATTTCTAGAGAAATGTATTGTTGAAAAAGTACTGTTGTCTCCCTGCTTGGTAACAATATGCTTGTAATTCCAGCACTCTGGGAGGCTGAGACAGGCAGATCAAGAGTTTGAGGCCAGCCTGGGTAAGAGCAAGACCCTGTCTCAAAAATAAAAAGGGCTGGGGCTGTAGCTCAGTGCTAAGACTCTGGGTTCAATCCCAGTCCCACTAAAAAACAAACATACCCACAAACAGAAGGCAACACTAAAAGTCCACACCTTCTTATCCAAGATTATCTTTCCTCCAGAAAACAGAAATTCAAAGTGGCAGTGAGCTTACTGGTTTTTGTTTAGTTGTTTACATTTGGGTGCAGTGCTTCTCACATTTTCTGTGTTGATGGACCATCTTGTTTTCTTTTTTTTTACCCAGGCTTCATGGACTTTAGTAAAACACAAAATAATTACTTGAGAAATGGGGTGAAAAATACAAAGATGTAAGCTGGGTGTGGTGGTCCACCTGCCTGTCATCCCAGCACTCGGGAGGCTGAGGCAGGAAGATCTTTGTGAGTTCAAGACCAGCCTGGGCTACAAAGTGAGCTCAAGGCCAGCCTGAACTTCATAGCGAGACCCTGTCTCAAAAAGACCAAAACAAAACAAAACAAAAACCAAAGATGTAGAAGATAGATACTTCTATTTAGATGTGCAGATAATTACTTTGTGATTTTGCTGTGAAAGTTTATAAACAATATAGTGTCTCTCTTTACCTTATTGTAACTCCGGTAGCAGTTCACAGGTTGGCCTTGGCTGTACAGCATACTTCTGTAAAGCGAAACACTTCTGTAAAGTGTGCACACGGGGTGTTTGTGCATCCCAATCCATGTGTGTTGGGCTGGTCACATTATAACATAGATCAGATAACAACTTTATGTGAGAATTAAATGCACATAGAAACTCTTTAGTAAAAGTGAAGTTTTTCTGGAAGTATTTAAATGCTCAAGTTGTAAGTGAATACCAGTAATTGTGCATACAGTTACACATTTCAAAACCCAGTTGTCCGTTAACAAGTCTGATGTATAAAGTAGAAAGTGTTTTGCAAAGTGAAATGAAACCACTATGATTTATCCCCAAGTTTAAATAAGCACAGATACTTTAGGTAGGAAATATCCTGCGTGAAATAGACAATACAGAAGAGCACTAAACAGTAGGAACTCTGTCTGTGAGGTAAGGAATTAGATAAACCAGTTACCGTCTGTCATAGCTTCCTTGTCTCAGAGCAGTTCATTACAGGACTGGTCTTTGGTCCTAGTGATTGACAGCCATTTTGTTAATGCTTACAAAATGAGGGGAAGTGTTTCGTACAAGTAGCTCCACATTCTGCGTAAGTATTAACAAATCTCAAGCTGATGCTGACAGTGATAGGTTGCAGCTGTCTTTCTCTTTTTCTTCTGGAGACTGAGGGATCGAAAGTGAGTCTCTGCATACAGAATTGTGTGCCAGGCTCCGTGGCCCTTGCAGGTCTGCTTTGATCAAGGGCAGCATGGCAGTAGTGGAAGGGAGTCCTGTAAAGTGTACGTATCTTGTTAGCCTTACACCTTTAGCATGAGACCTGAAGTACAAAGGCGGATGAGGTGTAGGAGATGGGCTCTTGGAGACCGTGGGGTCTCTCCATGAGGCCGCTCCCTGGAGTGCCTGAGACAGTGTGTATGTGGAATGCGCTAGTGCGGGATTGGAGGAGACCCGATCAGTCAGCTGGAGCAATGCAGGAAAAGGTGAATACTGAGCATTCACAAGAAAAGTCAGGTAACCGCAGAGCAGGCGCGTGTGTATGAAGATATCATTGGAGTGAGTCACACTCATCGGTGATGCGCACGTCTGGGTGTGAGTGCTGTAGGGAGGGCGAGGGAGCAAGCACAGGCCTGGCTTAATTAGAAGCAGGCGTCCCTGCCGGGACAACGGCACAACTTTCTGGATGAAATGTCTGGAAAGTGAGTGAGGTGTGTGAGGCAGAGGCTGATGGACTGGAGATCTGTCTGCTTCAGGGAGGTGTTCTGAAAGGAGGTGATGACAGTGTGACCGTGGATAGTTGGGAGGGTCACAGGCCAGAGGTGACAACTGACTGGAGCCAGTGTTCCCTGAGGGCCTTTAACTCAACCCATTATCCAGTTCTGGAAACCTGGAGTATGGGGCATTGTTTCCCCTGAAGTGTATGTATATTCCTGTGAATCACAGCAGGTATTTTGTTATGAAATGTCTCACATACCCAAACAGCAATGCCTCTGATCAAAGCAAATTACTTGAAAATTAATGCAGTCGCATTCAGACTGACTGACTGCAGTGAAATTGAGCCGAGGAGAAACTTAGACCGAGAAACATGCATCTCAGTAGTTGATGGAAGAATGAAAAGCAGAGGCAGCTCACACTCTGTGGTCATTTAACACAGGCCGAGTGCTTCGCCACATGGCACCCACCAGGCAGAAAGGCTCTGTGCATAATGAGGAGAAAAAAAGTGTTTTGAAAGCATACACAATTCTGCCGAATTTGTACACCTCCCCTCTTCTCTAACTTGTTCTTTTAGTCACTCAGGATGGGTTCAAGCTGTAATTTATGACACCTTTGCCTGTTTAGGTCATAGCATTGTAAGTGTTTTTTTGAGCTTTAAAAATAAATCCATTTGGGGGATGGAACCTGCATGGTAATGTTAGGCACGCGAACACAAGCACATGAGCTGAGAAAGTCAAAATCATGGTTTCCATGGTAACTCCTAACTTGTCTGTGTCGTACACATTTCTCAAGAAATATATTTGCCAGACTACCTAGTGATAAAAATTGCTCCGCAGGCATAGGAGGGCAGAACTCTCAGCTCTGTCTCCTAAGAGGTCTTCCCCCCAGTTAAACCATCTGCTTTCCTGAATAACCTAGGCAAGAAACCAAAGTCCAAGTTCTGGCCTCCAGTGTCTCTCTTACATTGGAAGTTAACCTTCATGTGAGTCACGCCATTTCCTGCCTTTCTCTTTTGCAGATATATGTTGGGTAAAGGAGGAAAACGGAAATTTGATGAGCATGAAGATGGGCTGGAAGGCAAAATCGTGTCTCCCTCCGACGGTCCGTCCAAGGTGTCTTACACCTTACAGCGCCAGACTATCTTCAACATTTCCCTTATGAAACTCTATAACCACAGGCCCCTGACAGAGCCCAGCTTGCAAAAGACCGTTTTAATTAACAACATGTTGAGGCGGATCCAGGAGGAACTCAAGCAGGAAGGCAGCCTGAGGCCTGTGTTCACCCCCTCCTCCCAGCCCAGCGACTCACTGAGTGACAGCTACCGAGAGGCACCACCCGCCTTCAGCCACCTCGTGTCCCCTCCCACTCACCCCTGCGACCTGGGAAGCACTACATCCCTGGAGGCCTGCCTCACCCCAGCCTCCCTGCTCGAGGACGACGATGACACGTTTTGCACTTCACAGACTGTGCAGCCCGCATCTCCTCCCAGACTCTCCCCTCCAGCCCTTGCGCAGGAAAAGGACAGCTTCTCCTCGGCCTTGGACGAGATCGAGGAGCTCTGTCCCACATCTACCTCCACAGAGGCCGCAGTGGCAGTGACTGACAACTTGAAAGGGACCTCCAGCGGGGCTAGCATCCCAAAACCCGAGGGGTCCCAGGAGGGCCGCACGGATGACTCAAAACTGATGGACTCTCTGCCCAGCAATTTTGAAATAACAACATCCACAGGTTTCCTGACAGACTTGACCTTGGATGACATCCTGTTTGCCGACATCGACACGTCCATGTATGATTTTGACCCCTGCACTTCTGCATCAGGGACAGCCTCAAAAATGGCCCCTGTGTCGGCCGATGACCTCCTTAAGACCCTGGCTCCTTACAGCAGTCAGCCCGTCACCCCAAGTCAGCCTTTCAAAATGGACCTCACAGAGCTGGACCACATCATGGAGGTGCTCGTTGGGTCATGAGACCCAGGGACCCGGTAACAGTGCCCGCCGAGACACTGCGGGCGTTCCCACCACCCTGACAATTCTCCGCACTGTGCATGTACCCTTGCTTGCCTTTTTCAGAGAAAAAGAAAATTTTACAAAAGGATCACATTAGTTTTTGCTTTGAGCAGAGTTGGAGTGCCTTCATCCAAGTGTGACCACTTTTAATACGCTTTTTTGAGTGGTTCCTCAGAGACCTGCTACGCTGGTATAGGAAAGAGTACATTTGAAGACAATGTCGTTAATGTGGAATGACGAACATAAAACAGTTAAAGTGAAGCACAAGGATTAAGTTGGAAAAGCTGTAAATTGCATGTGCATATTTGTCTATTTTTTCTATAAGTTTTATTGCAAGAGGTAAAAAAGAAAAAATATATATATTATTTAGATAATCTCAGTACCTTTCCTGGCATTTTTGCCCTGTATAGGTTGACTTGGCAATTCAGCCTTTTAAGAGGCATTAACTACTCCTCGTAAGTGTCGCATTTACCTGGCTGTTTAGAAAACTGCTGCCCAAATTTATTTTATATTTTTGTACAGATTCTGCAGTTTATGATATTGTTTTTCTAAAAAACAAATGCTGTTTATACATATAAGATAGCTATTTTGATAGGATTTGCTCACATAGTTCCTGCAAACTTCAGATGTACAAGTTGCACTTGTACTTTTATAGAGTTGTAATGTTTTATATGTGTATGGTGCAAGAGAAAATTGGATCAAATCAATCTGCAGTTGATGTCCCCAGATGCACACACACACACACACACACACACACACAGCCTTTTAAGAAAGGGCCAGGTGATATCACACCCAAATTTCACAAGCACGACCCCCTGGCACGAACACCCGCCAGTACTGTGACTTCCAAAGCCAGAGCCATGTCTGCTCATCAAACTTGCATTAAGCAGTTGGCGGGAGACTGCAGTGGAGCTCGGGGTTGAGTGATGGTTCTCCTTAGCTCCCTCCTTGGAGGGAAGGCTATCGTCTTACTAAAAGTGTATTTATGCCAAGTTTGCGCTTTTAATTGTTTTTATTTTTTAAAATGAAAACCCCTGTCTTTCCTTTTTGGCGTAGTTTTTATGATGAACCTGTTATTTTACATATGAACAAAATTTTATGAGAAGCAACCAACTTCTTCATGGAACTGAGCCCTATTTCAGTGCTTAGGGCTCATAAAGAAAAAATTCTACCCAGAAGGCATCCATCATGTTGCTGAATTGTCTTTTCCAGCATCCCTTCCCCAGAGCTTTTGTTCCCTCTGTTGCTAAGAGCTGAAAATGGCATCTTCACGATCAGCTCAGTGAGCCCGGCTCACCTCAGCCGGCGGGGGTGCACGCTCCCCACACCGTGACTCTTGAGCCTGGAGCACTCACGCTCCTCCACGGCACCCTGTCTGGTCGGTTTCTTAAATCAGTTGCTCATTTATCCACACTTCACAAGGCTGCTTTACCCAAACACACAAACAGGAGTCTCTATGCATGTTTCCCCTCTCCTGCCTCCCAGAACACACTTAAGAAGTAGCTTTTTATTCCTAGTGATGTACATTTAATTTTAAAACATTTGCAATGTATCATGCTTGTTGCTGAGATTGTTCATGGCCTTCTGTTTCAGTTTTTTCTTTCTTCCAATGGTACTTTAGCTGTTGAGTGCAGGTTACAACCTATATTGTTAGGCAGATGGCTTCTTTAGAAATAACTTTTATATTTATTTAAAAATGTTTAAATTATGGGATTTTGTTTTTTTGTTGTTGTCGTTGTCTTTGTTGTTGGTCATTTGTCAATATTAAGTCACCAGTTCTGCTCACTTCTTGCCATGGATACAATTGGGTCTTTCTGGCCAATTTAAAAAAAAAACAACAACTTTATAAAATGGCACTTTAAACAAGCCATAGATAGTTTTATTTTTGTAATGCACATGGCAAAACAAATACATTTGTGATGAAGGAACTGCTCGTCTAAGCAAAAGATTCATGTATGATATGATTAAGTCTTTCTGCATTCTAATTTACTTTTTCCCCATTTGAATGTTTTAAAGGCTAATTATCAACTCAGTAGAGCAGTGAGAAACTGATGAAATTGCCCTCAGTCTCCTCCAAGCAGCCCTCACGCAGACACCTCTTACTGCTGCACATGTGTCATTTCCTTTATATGGGACCAGGGACCATATAATTAAGGCGAGGGCTGTTGTAGATGCTTCCAGTGTCACTGTGCCTGTCCATTTCAAGCGCTTCCCTCTTTTCTGGTGGAGAGCAAGTCTGCCCAGACCCATGCTTTTCATAACTGGAGAAGCCTGCAAACTGGCCACGTGCTGCACACATCTACATACATGTACATGTACACATGCAATAGTGTTGATTATTCTGAACAATAACGGCATAAAGCAGTTGATTTGCCATTGTTGGAAACTGATTTACAGTAACTTAGAACAACTGTACTTTCGTTAGATTAGCAAATCATGTGTTTAAACAAATCCCATATGTTGGGCAACAGTTCAAATAAGCACAGAAAAGCATTGCCCAAACTTGGTTCTCTGACTCTCATGTATTTGTAAGGCTGGGCTTAGAAATCAAAACAAAAACCCCCAACAACAGCAGGCAAGTGCTTTTTAACTCTGACGTCCTCGCTGTAAATTCTTGATGCTCAAAGTCTAATGAGACCTACATGGGAAACTCGGTGGCCCATTTTCAGAAAGAGCAAAGCCATCAAGAGTTCAAAGTGTCTCTGTGTCCTATTTTTACTAAGTGATGTCCCAACAGGGAAGAGCAGCAGCCAGAGTGGGCTGTCCAGGTCTCAGATGCAGTGTGGGATGTGCTTCCAGATGCCTCCTGGCAGCAGTGCCTTCCCCTGTACAGAAGACATCACGTGGCCTCCAGAGCCAGGCAGGCAGCTCGAGGTACCTTTTATGAGGAAGCCGTGCTGGGCGGGGCTGGGCTGGGAGAGGACAGTTTTTGACAAGGATGTGCAATCAAGTGGCAAGACGAGAGCAGAATCCTGAGAGCTTTGAATTTGAAGTGATTTTTTTTCCCCATAAGTTATTTATTCTTTTTTTTCTGTGTAAATATATTTATTTTACTGTGGAGCTCTAACAACTTCTGGTTGGTAACATGTGCAGAATGTATGGTAGGAATGTATTCTCTTGTAGGAATGTAAATCTGTATTAGAGGGGGTTGAAGCCAGCCGCCCCCCCCCCCCCGTCTTTTCATTGAATGCACAGTCCACATTCATTTTTACTCCTCGCTAATATGGGTCTATTTGAAATATGCAAAAGGTATGAATGAGGGATATTTTAATACCTCCAAATTTTTAAGAAAATCAAGCATCAAAGGGTTGATATTTTTTAAAGTTTTCTTAGTAGCACTTTCTCTTGATGACAAAAGGGGCGACCACACGGGCACCCACATTCATACCAAAGGGTGAGAAATGACCAGGGCCTCCTACACCTGAGTGTCTTGATCAATTGAGCTTTTTATCGCCATAGCCCCTTGGAGTGCCCCAACCACCCTGAGGTCAATCAAGGAAAATTTCTTAACTGAATAAGCTCCAAAGAGCCAAAGTATCAACTTACGGATCATTTTTAAAGCTTAAATTTATTAACCACCTTTGCAGTAAACAATGAATTATGGATACTGCAAAGGCAGCCTTCTTAAATGACAGATATTTTAAAAAAGACTCTACCTTGTGCAGCGATTGTTATTCTAGTCTATATGAATTGTCTTAATTGCAAAATCTTGCTGTTAAAAATTGGACCTTTGTACATTTTCTGGAAATACTGAAAAGAGCATATTTAACGTAGCTGTAAGTGGTTAACTTCCTGTAACTGCCCCCCTGACCTGGGTGGCAGCGAGCTGTGTGCGTCCTGCTTATGTACAATTGTTTTCAATGCTTCCAAGAAGGAGTCTAAATGGTTCTTGAAAATTAGCCAGGGTCAAATGCTGTTGCAGATAAAGCCAATAAACATTTTGGACTTCTTTTGGGGATAACAGGTATGGAAGAGAAGTGCAGTCCATATGTACAAACAACCGAGATTTTGAGAAAGATGTACATAGTGACACGTTTGGTGCATGGGTTTTGAGGAGGGCTTTTTGTCACAAAGGAGGTGTGACCTTTCCCCACAGACCTGAGAGCTGTGCCTTTTCTATGCAATATTACAGATGTCACATCAGAACCCAGAGGGCTGTGTTCAATGTAGGTTTGGGCTGTAATCGAAATAATTGGACAGATTAAATGTACATGGGAATGAGCAGTCTTACTTTTGTAGTTTTATATTATATAATAAACAGTTAAAAGATGAGAGAGGCGTGTTTGCAGTTCTTCTGACTCAAGCACGACCAGCTTATATACACAACCACTTGTTCCCATTTACCACGGTCCGCGAGAGGCCTCTGCTGGCGTTGGGGATGTTGATCTTCCTGAACCTTCCTGGTCCCCAGCAACACCATTCTCTTCTGGTTCCTCCTGTGCCTCTTGGACCCTTCTTGAGCTCCTTTTCTTCACTTTTCTGACCAGCTCTTGGCAGACGTGGTTTTTCCAGAGGGGGCTTGTGCCCGGGTCTTAGCAAGCCTCCAAACAGTCCAGTCTTGCTGCCTGAAGGTGACCTCACCCACTCAGGGCTCACAGACCTGGTTGTCAGCCCTGCCTCTTTCCTGAACTGCAAACACCGCCTTGTGTGTCTCAGTGGTAGGGCCCTTGCCTAGCCTACGTGAGGCCCTAGGTGCAATCCCCAGTACTGGAGGGGAGGCTGAACGCACATTTGGTGGAGGGCATTGTGACTTCCTAATGTGACTCTGTCCATGGCGGTCAGCTGTTGCAAAGAAAGCTGTGCTCAAGTGCTTTTTTGGTAATCCGGAATCCTAGAGTCCCTGTTACTTCTCCCATCTGGGCTTTGTTCCTCATTGGAAGGGATTAGTTGCCTGAGGCAGGAGTAATAGTCCTCAGGGTTACCCCTTCCGGAGCATCCACGCAGGCCCCCAAGTGCTGGTGTGCATCGTCTTGTGAATTCGTCCCCCAGCCCCTAAGGTTTATCTGACCACCCTGCTATACAGAGGAAGTCCAGGCTCGGAGAGGTTAAGCAACTTCTCAGAGGTCACATGGCTGGCAGTTAGCAGAGCTGGGATTGTGGCCCGAGTATCTCTCACGCTTAGAAAGAAGGCAAGACCAGGCATGGTGGCTCATGCCTCTAATCCCAGCACTTCAGAGGCCGAGGCAGGAGGATTGCCAAAAGTTTGAGCCCAGGCTGAGCTACATAGCAAAACCTTGTCTCAAAAACAAACACAAAGAGGGAGGCAAGACAGACTTGGTTGTCCCTGGCTGTACGTTTATAGGGAGTTGGGGGAGTTCGGGAGGCCCTGCTGGCATCTCTGGGCTTGCATCGGGTGCAGGCCTCAAGGCTTTTACAAAAGCTCTTGAATGGGAGGAGAGCATTGCCCCGAGGTGCCAGCCTTCGAGGCTTCCCGGAGCGGTGGCTGTGCGTGACAGGGAAGCACACACACTGGCATTGTCCCTGGAGCTGGGAAGCCCCTCTGCAGCAGGCTGCCCTCGCCCCCGCCCCGCGCGCCTCGCCCCGCCCCCGCAGGGTGGCCGAGCTGCCAGCTGCTAGCAAGGCCTATTGTACCTCGGTGACAAGAAATGGCTTCGGGAGCGCAGGCCCCAGAAAGGCTGGCGGCGGAGGGGGCGGGGCGGGTGGCTGGGGCGCCGGCGCCCCACAGGGGCCGGCCTGGGTGCAGTCTGTCCCCTCCTTCCTCAGGGTCTGCCGGCTGCCTTTTCAGGTGCTGGAAGTGTGTGGTGGTGGTGGGGTGTGTTTGGGAACGAGTCAGGCTGCCTGGAGAGAAGGATTTCTGGTCGCTTGTTTCCCAGATGAGTGGCGGAAGCCGGAGGCCAAGCCCACGGCCTCCGTGCGTGCTGCGGCTGGAGAGGGCACGACGAGCCGCGGCGGCCCTTGACATTTGTACACAGCTTCGCGAAGTTTCTCAGCTGTCTGGTCCATCTGGTTCTTGTGGGGATTCCAGGAGGGGTGGAAGGGTGGGGAGAGCGGCGCGGACCAGAGCAAGCGGACAGAGGTGCAGGGAAGCACCCAGGCCTCTGTGGGAGACTCGCGCCTCCTCCCTCGCCGTCCTGTGGGGCTGCAGGGCCTGGGGAGCGGGTGGGAGTGCAGCTGCCACGAGGGTAGAGCTCTGCCCAGCCTAGAGCTAAGGTCACGGGTTCTCTGGGAGCATCTTCCCTCCCTCCTTTCCTTCCTTCCTTCCTTCCTTCCTTCCTTCCTTCCTTCCTTCCTTCCTTCCTCCCTCCCTCCCTCCCTCCCTTCCTTCCTCCCTCCCTTCCTTCCTTCTTTCCAGTTTTTTTGAGATGGGACTCACTATGTGGTCTAGGCTGACTTCACACTTGCCCTGTAACTGGGCGGGCTTTGAGCTCTTGATCCTGCCGGATCACAGGCAGGCACCACCGCTTGCAGTTTTCTTGGAGTTTTTTGTTTTAAAAGGAACGCATTGGGAACTGAAGCCATTGTGAGATTTGATTCTATCCTTTCTGTCTCTGGGAACATCCCTCCTTTCACTCCAAACACACACACACACACACAGCCATAGCTGATGGGGACAGCAGTGGCTCAGTTGCGGGCAACAACTGCCTTCTCTTTGGAGCCATCTTGGTCGTCCAACCTGGGGAAAGAGGCCCGGCTGGGGTGTAGCTCAGTGGTGGAGCACTTGCCTAGCAGGCATGGGATCCTGCCTGGGTTCCTTTCCTAGCACCACCGGAGGGGGAAGGGGAGAGGGAGGGGGAGGAAAGAGAAAGCTATACAGATGAGTTCTGCCCTGTGCTTCCTGATAGGAGCACAGAGGACCTAAAGTTCTTCCCATAGCCTCTGTTCCCTGCTACTTCCCGAGCCGTACTCCAGCCCCATTCCCTCAGTCACACCTAGCCTGCTCCCTGCTCTTGGGCTGTGCGCGTCCTGTTTCCTGTTCTCTGCCTGGCACGCTCCCTACCTTCACCCAGGTGCACCTCACAGCCCCTGCCCAAAGCAGATGCCCACCCCTCGGGCCTCGCCAGCCCCTCCCCTCCCTTTTTCCTCCACCACGCTCCACGTCCTCATAGTAACCCGCTGGGCACTGGGCTTATCTGATGGCTGTCTCCCTTGCGGAACTGTAGAATCTGGGAGTGAGCGTGCGTGTGTGTGTGTGTGTGTGTGTGTGTGTGTGTGTGTGTGTGTGTGTGTGATATGTCTGCCTGCTGGGTGCTGGGGCTCCAGGCCAGAACAAAGCAGATCTGACACGTGCCCTTTCTGCCATCTGCAGCCTTATTCCCCAGCAGGAGGAGAGGGCATAGGGCGGAGAGACAGGAGCAATTGTGGCAGATGTTTCCTGTTCTCTTCTTAGACTGCTCAGGGCTCAGGCTTTCCATGGAGTCTTTCATTTGATCTTCACCACAGCGAAATTGGCACTGTGTTACCAACAACCGACCATCAGAGGGTGGCCTCTTACGTGCTGCCTCCCAGCGTCCTGGGGTCTCCCAGGTACACTATCCTGCCTAAGACCAACGCTTGGGACCAACAGGGAGAAGAAGCTTCTAGCCCTGCACCCTGCAGGACAGGGGCTCACCCCGCTGTCCCTGGGCACATGAATGATCCAGCCCCTGCGCCCAGGGACCCTGTGACAACTGGGCGAGATGACAAAGGGAGGGTGAGGGAGATGGCTCACCTGGAGGGAGGGGCCTGGAGACACAAATTGTCCAGGCCACAGGATTGATTTAAAGAAGGATTTGTGTGTATTTCCTCCTCCCAGCTATGGTTTTATGCTCTTGGCCTGAACTGCCCCAATCCACCCACTCCATGTCAGTCCCCTGTCTTGAACTGGCACTGTGGGCTTCATGCTGGCTGGGGAGAGAGAGCTTGTGGGCAGTGGCAATGGCAAGTGTGGAGAAGGAAGGGCTGCCTGGCCCCACCCTGAAGGAAAAGGAAGTGGGCAGCAACCTTTGTTATTTATTTATTTACGAATACAGTGCATTTTAATTTTTTGGAGCATTTTCAGACAAATTCCAAAAAATGTACAAGGGTGGGGGTTGAGCTCAGGTAGAGTGCATGCTTAGCAAATACAAGACTCTGGGTTTCATCTCAGGGATGACACACCTATAGAGGTGTGATCAAACACACAGTGAATGCTTCTAAACTATCATTACAGCAAAAGACGCATTGCCATTGATCCCCCTCTATCGGGTTAATATTATCCCTTATTGCAGACTGATCAGCTCTGCAATCTCCCAAATGAGTGGATGGCAAAGATTAAATAAAAAAGACAAATGGAATGATTTCAGGGCTCCAGGAGAGTCAAAAACACTCTCACAGAATTTGAGATTCTCTGGGCATTAAGACCAAGATCTTCTCTGGGTGGTCCCTATTTATTTAGTTATCAGAACAAGGGAGAGGAGTACTCAGGAAGGGCGGAACCGCTCAAGGACTTCTCCAAGTAAGGAATTATGTTAATTTAGGAGAGCTGTGTTAACTCCACAAGGGTCTCCACTCAGGAGTGAGATGCCTGAGGCTATAGTCTTTATCTTGTTGAGGTTGGAGCCAGGTGTCCTTGGCTGTGACCTTGTTTTATCCTCTGAGGCATCTTGGCTTCACCCACCATTACAGTCCTCAGTAGGGATCAGTGACTCACAGAGGTTCACTTACTCTGAGTCCATCTCCCATCTCCAGACAAGGGGCCAAACCTTGCATAGACTCAAAAGTAAACATGAAAAGCCAATTGGTTAATTTAAGTCCTGCTCAGAGCTGCTTTGTAGTGGTCTCCAGCACCCCTCACTTCAAACACACTTATCCTGTCATTCCTGCCATTTTCTTTTCTTTTCTTTTTTTGTTTTTTGGTATCAGTAATAGAACTCAGAGCCTTGCACTTACCAGGCAGGTGCTGTGCTGAGCTATATCCCCAGCCCCTAGGGTTTTGTGGGGTTTTTTGTTTTGTTTTGTTTTGTTTTGTTTTGTTTTTTGATTCCTGCCACTTTCTAAAGCAGTTCTGATAATCCTCTTTTGGCTGCCTCAATGTCCTGAATTAATTCAAATCATTTGCCTTACATGGTCATTTTGACTTTGGGGAAAAGCCAGAAGCCACGTGCTGCCAGATCCAGTGGATAAAGTAAATGAAAACTTGCCATGTTTTTATTCGAAAGAAATTGTTGTAGACAGTTGATCAATGTGATATGATCAAAATATACAGTGAAATAAAAATAAAAAGAACAAAATATACAGCGAATGTCTAAATTTTAAATTTATGATAGCATGCTGGGGTGTGGGGCAGGATGAAG